CGGGGGCGGAAGGCGGGGGGGGGGGCACAGACGAGCCCATATACACGATCGGCTGGCTATAGAGCTGCCAATCGGGTATATGTTAAACAGCCGCTAACGGCTCTCTGCTCGGGTTTTTTCTGCCCTTGCGCGCGCATTAGGGGGGCGCGAGTGAGCAGCAAAAAAAATGCCGCCTGGAGACTGCAACCCGCTAATGCAGCAGTGCCGTCCGTTTTTTTTTCCAACGGGCGGACGGCAACTGGTTAAAGCCCATTTCCACCTTTGCTTTGGTATTTAAAAAAAAACATATGCCAGCAATGTACACTTAGTTAACACAAAGCAGGCATATGCAGTTGCTGTATATGACCAGATAAACTTACTTTTTTAATATATTTATTTATGACAAAAAAATATAATGGTATAACAAATTATGAAAACAAGAATGTAGGAAATAAAACAGAAGAACATTGCTACATTTTATTCATTACTAATACTCCCCATAAGGGCCTTCCCCCTTTGGCTTCTCTTTTTTGATAAACTTACTTTTTTTGTTAAGTGCCCTCTTCAGCTCCTTTTGAAATGGCCGCCTCTGTGCTCTGCATGCAGTCTGTGTAAATTACAGGCTGCTCTGCACAGTGGGGACTACAATGTAGGACATTGAAAACTACATTTCCCACAATGCTATGCTTTTCTTGGGCAAAAGCTTCTCTGTGGAAACTGAGCTCTCTCTCTCTCTGAGCTCTTTCTCTATGAGCTCTCTCCCCATTCAATAATATTCATAGTGGCAACCCCCCCGGAGAGTGTGGAGTGACCTCGAGAGGCAGAGCTGGCGTACAGGGATCTTGTTACAATGACTCACAGGGAAGGGGTCAGCTGTTTTACAGTTTGTACAAGACAATTCAATCCCAGTGTCAGTCTGAGTTTCCTGTGAAGGGAATTATGAATTTGTAGAACAAAGACTCACTAAAATGTCCATAAGCCATCAATTTGAGTCATGAAAATGCACACACATATACATCATCACTGCACCTCTACATTACCACAATAAATGCTAATCGCTTACAAAGGTGGAAATGGACTTTAACTTAGATATTTGCCCCCTTTCCAGGGGAATGAGCACAGGAACACATTAATATCCCTTATTACTCTTTCCACCAAAAAGTTAAAATGTAAATAAAAACACAGACAAATCTTTTGATAAAATTACAGATTTTTTTTTAACAATCTCCCACAATGTAAATCCATCATCAAATCACATTGTCTGGTGATGTAAATCCATCATCAATCACATTGTCTTGTGATGTAAATCCATCATCAATCACATTGTCTGGTGATGCAAATCCATTGTCATTCATGATGACCCTTGCCTGATGATGTTTTTCTACCACATGACGATGCTTTCCCACTCCATTATCACCAGTAAATTACAGGTCCCCAGTTTCTAGAATGTAAACAAACAAGAGGGGATCCTGGGTGATGTCATTGACCATATCTGGTCTAAAATAGTCAATGACGTATGTATCCTGGGATTCCTGGCCCTAGGTTTACATTAGCCACCTTGCAAGATCTCCCCTCCCATGTTGACAGGTATGTAGCTGTGCTCGCTGCCCTCGCTTGTCTAACCACAAAGGCTGCATACCTGAAATAGGGCCTGTTTAAAATTTTAAGTGAAGCCCTACACCATGTTTTCTCTTTTTAAAAGTGACAGTAAACATTTTTTGAAAAAGGAAGTGGGTTTCCTAAGATGTCAGCAAGGCCCCTCATCATGCATGCAGCCTGGGTGACCAGGACAGGGAGAGCAGCATGCATGTAGCCTTCCCTTCCTGGACCATGCCAGGCCACGTGTCTTTCAACATTGGGTTTACCCTGCAAGGGGGCATGGAAAAGCAGATGTGGGGATTTTTTGGGGGGTAATTTGGAAATCTGAAAGCTAAATAACAAATGCACTAAATCACAGAACTTCTAGAGCTGTTGAAAAAATATCCCTAGGGGTCCTAGGTGATACTATTGACCAAGTATGGTCCTGACCATAATTGTTCAATTATGTTTTCCTGGATCCCTGGCTATTATTGTTTACATAGAGAAGATTGGAATTGTGGCCAAACAGCTCTTCTGATCCACAAATGTATCATCCACAACAACACAGTAAAGGATTTGTCATCTACTGACCCTGTAAATTGAATTGTCCTGAAATAGCAAGCACGCAACAATGGTTCTTTGTTTTCATTTTAAAGGTAAGATTTAAAGTATTTTCTTAGGCTTTAAAAATATGTAAAATAATTTTTTTACTTTTGTTGATAAATATTCTACAACTGATTAAACCACTAGTTGGCTATTAAAACAATTACACAAGAGTCTGCTTTCCCCAACAGTGTGCCTCCCTTGAGTGTATTGCACTAGATCTTCACTATATAAGCATTTATATTTTTTACCTGAACTGATATCTGCAGAGGGACTCATTAAAGCGTAAGTCATCACAGCAGAGAAAACAAGCTCAAGCAATGATCACAATGAATCATGAGGCGATGTGTCTTTGTGTGACTGTGCATTGCTGCCTTGCGTGTTAAAATCACGGGCTGTGATCCTGATTTACTGAAGGAGCAGAACATTTTCATTTAATCTTAGTGAAAGAGGTGAAACAAAGTGGTTTAATAGTTACCACTTCTGCCTAACAGCCCTGGGGTCCTCAGTTTTATTCTTGGCCAGAACACTGTCTGCATGGCGTGTGCATGTTCTCCCTTACATGGATTTCCTCCTACTTCCAAGGGACATGCTGGTTGGTTTATTGGCCCTAGCATATATGTGAGATAGAGACCTTAGATTGTAGCCTCCATGAGGCCAGGGAGTGATGTGCATATAAAGTATCTTTCAAGTCTTCCTGTTCTACAAGTGTATGGACTGAGAATGTGTTCACTGGGCATATTTAAAACTTGAAATTCTCGGATAGCATGTATATTCCATGAATTGGATTCAATTTTATCTATTTATTAGCTGTATGTTCAATAAATTTTGATATTTTTTATACATATGCATCGCTGTATACCTCTCTAGAAACCCTTCTCTTTTTCAGAATTTTTTCTACTCCTCGTATTGTAGGGGGAGAGGCTAAAGCAGGGAGCCTATAGTGAGGCAACCCACGAGTTGTATTTTTAGTCTTCCTGTTCTGGCAGACTATGCTGGCTGGATGACACACAGGCCTTTGCTTCCTGAGCACTGATTACTTCCAGCTTCAAGGGCCTGCCAGGAGTGGAGACCCTTGCAGCTTCCAAATCCTTGGCCCTAAGGCCGAGGAGGAATAAAAGCTCACATCACCATCCACATAGGGTGGAGAACTGGATCACATGAGGGAAAGTGCCCCAAACATTAAACACCTCCCCAACTCACACCATCAATATCAGACTCAAGTTAAATGGCTGGGTTGCTAAACATTCTTAACTCAGATTGTTGACACTCTGTTTAAAGCATCCAGGAGCATCTGACACAGGTAATAACAGCCCTTGCTTATGGACAAGGAGATGCACCCGGGCTTCTAATACCTGCTTTTTCCTACAGATTACACACAATGTTCAAATGCGAAATTGGTAAAATTACCATAACTCTATATACACTGAGAGGCCAGATTATTATGACCACCCCATCAGTACTTCGTTGGGCCACGAGATAACTCCACAAAATGACTTTGTTGGGCTGCCTCGTGACTCCACAAGATGTTGAAAGGTGATGCGAGGAATCTGACACTGCACTGTTGCCCTTCTGTTGTCTTGTACCAGTCTTGCCACTCTCCGTTCTGCCCTAACATTGACTAGTCGCTGACGGCCACAATTCGCACGTTCCAGGGATCTCAAGTCTCCCTGATGTTCAGGGAGTCTCCCTCTTTTAGATAGCGGCTCCCTGACGTCCGCGAGAGACGCATTTTCTCCCTGAAATGTTTACTCTCAGTAAACCTTTCCGGTAAGATATCAGTGGGTAAAGTTTCAGAGTGAGGCTTGCCTCCTGGAGGAAGGTCATGTGATCTCTAGAGTAGCCTCAGAACGAGGCTTGGCTCTCAGAAGGAAGAAGCTACTTGCTGCACAGAGAGGGCGGACATAGACTACTATTGAGAGCAGGTACAGGCACTAAATCTGGCCATTCAGTGTATTTTATCAAAGACCAATGTATCAATTCACATTTGCCTTGTTTACTGAACATAAAATAAAAGGGCGCTACTACACCAATTAACTACTAGTATTTTTCTGGAATTAATTAAATCAAATACAAATATGGGGAGAACATAAAAACACCATACAGATCCTTGATGTCCTTAACCAGAACCAGTATCCCTGTGTGATCTTGTATATTGTAAAGCGCTGTGCAAACTGTTGGCACTATATAAATCCTGTATTATAATAATAATAATCTTTAAAATCTTTTCAGAAACAAATATTCTTATGGCGAATCTTACAGTATTCCAGGGATTCCATTTTTTAACCTTTTCTAAAAGAGTGGAAGATAATCTGCTTATTTTCAGTGTATTCCTCATCATCTATCTTCTTGGTGTTTTAGCCAACTCAGTTATAATTGCAATAGTAGCTTTACATCGCCACCTACACACCCCAATGTACACGTTCCTTTGCAACTTGTCATTTGTTGACATTTGCTACACAACAGTCACCATCCCCAAACTGCTGGACATGTTACTCTCTGGAAATAACACAATGACTTTCCTACAATGCTTCGTTCAGATGCATTTTTATTGGATGTCAGGTGGAATCGAGGATATTCTTTTGTTCACAATGGCTTATGATCGATATGTTGCTATTTGCAGTCCTTTACACTATCACCGTATCTTTACAAAGGGAAATTTAACAAGGCTCATAGTGGTCATTTGGGCTTCTGGATTCCTAAATTCAGTATTTGTAACAATATCAGCTTCTTATATGTCCTTCTGCAATTCCACTACTGTCAATCAATTCTTCTGCGATGCCAAAGCTCTAACCAAGATCTCCTGCACCATTGCTGAAGTGTTTTATATAGCCATCTGTCTAGAACTGTTCCTATTTGGACTTTGTCCATTTTTATGCAGTTTGATGTCCTATCTGAAAATCATTAGTGTTATACTTAAAATACAGTCTAAGGAAGGGAGAATGAAAGCCTTCTCCACCTGCTCGTCCCACCTTTGTGTTCTCCTTATTTATTTTGGCACTGGTCTGCCTGTGTACCTAAAGCCCCTCTCAGACCATGCAGATGTCCTGGATCAGATCTTCAGTGTGTTTTATACCACAGTGACACCTCTATTAAACCCTCTCATATACAGTTTACGTAATAAAGAAGTGAAAATGGCCCTGATGAGTTCACTTGTGTTAAGACATTAAAAACATTCAAAATAAAAAGCTAACAGTACTTGAGAATCACTTTCTGTATACTGAATTCATCTGTGTATCTAATACATAGAACCAAAGGCTGTAAAGCAAAAGAATTTCAGATTTAAATCATTTTTTAAAAATAAATTCTTTATTTAAAGAGGTATTTTTCGTTTACAAAACAGAGATGTCCAAATATGCAGTACATACATGCCGTCAATAAGTCAATCTATACATCAAGTATGGACAGATGGGGGAAACAACAGCCGACAGAAACAACTATGCAGCATAGGGTAAAGCATGTGTCGAGAACCTAACCCAGATAGTGTCATGGGGGGGTGGATATGCGAGACAACTACAGTCGGTCTCCGTAGTAGGTAGGGGTCCTAGGTAGTTACCCGTATAGGAACGGGGGACTCGAGCTCTTCTATGGGGGCGAGGTCACGACACTAAAGCAGGGGCCTACAAGGGGGCTTAGCAAGGGGTAAGGAGGAGGAGAGAATAGGGGGGTGGAAAAGGGAAGGTATGAATAAAGTCCAGAGGGGGTACAAGGGGAGAGGTTGCACATGGTAGGTAAGATGGGTGGGGGGACCAGAAGAGGGTTCGGGCGGGCGAGTTATGTCTCAGGTCCTTGGCGTAGGGCTTCATATGCTGGAGAGTGGAGGAACTCAGTCCAGTAGAACCAGGTCCTGCCGAACTTGTCGGAGGTATTGTGTAGTGAGCTGGTAAGGTCTTCCATGAGGTATATATCATGTATTCTGTCGAGCCATTGCGATATGGTGGGTGGGTCTGTGTTTTTCCATCGTGCTGGGATACACGCTCGAGCCGCGTTAACCAGATGGTGCACAACGGATCGCTTGTAGGTCTTGGTCGGGATGTCATTATGATGCAGGAGGAAGAAGGCCGGGTCTCGAGGCACTGGGAGATCGGTGAACTTTTGGGTAGTGATAACCACGTGGTCCCAGAAAGCTATGAGTGATGGGCATGACCAGAAGATGTGGAGAATGTCTGCTGAGGGGGCGCCACAGCGCCAGCAAACATCCGGGGTCTGGGGATACATGGAGTGTAGCGAGTGAGGGGTCCTGTACCACCTGGTTACCAATTTGTATCCCGTCTCCTGATACCTATTGCTGATGGAAGATTGGTAGGACAGCGCAAGTAGTTTCGTGCGCTCTCTCGGGGTGAACTGGATACTGGATCCCCAGATCCTCCTCCCACCTTGTGAGGAACCACAGACTGTCGGGGGTGCAGCCGGAGAGCAGCAATTTGTAGCAGAAGGACAGGGCGTGGCGTGCTGGGCCTTCTCGAGTACATTCCGACTCATAAGGGGACATCGGTCTGGAGAGTCGAGTAGGGGTGGTAAGGGATTTCGAGAAGTGGAGCAGTTGCATGGTACGCCATGAATCCAGGGGTGGAGAGTTGGGATCGGAGGCTAAGGTAAATGTTGCGGGCCACGAGGTGCCGTGTAGAAAATGTACGGCTCTGGATCCATTAGCGGCTCCGAGCCGGAGGAGGTATTTGTCGTCTATCCCTGGGGGGAAGGCCAGATTTCCCAAGACTGGAATAAAAGGGGATGGTGCGGGAGACAGGGAGTACTAAGAGAAGGCGGACCGGACCACCGTCAGTGTAGGCATGATGGTGGGGTGGGAGCAAATGGTCGAGGGGAAGGGGGGTGAGCACCAGGGTAGACCTGATAATGGCACCGGAGAGAAGGATTGCTCCAGGCCAGTCCAAAGCTTTGAAGATAAATGTCGGCACCAATCCAGTACTCGTGTCAGGTGGACGGCAATGTAGTAAAGATGTACATATGGTGGACCCGTCCTTCCAGAGTCTTTAGGCAGGCGCAGAAGGTTGTATTTGAGTCTGGAAGGTTTGCCCGCCCATACAAAGCTAGTGAATAAAGACCTGAGAGACCTAAAGAAGGCGGAGGGTAGCTTAATGGGTAAAGCTTGAAGAGGGTACAGAATTCTTGGGAGGATTGATTGCTTCAAAATGTTGCAGCGTCCCATCCATGAAAAGGTCCCAGTGGACCATTGCTGATGGCTGATAGCAGGGGAGGGAAGTTGAGGGAGTAGGCTTGAGAGGGGTTTTTGGGAAGCAGAATGCCCAGGTATTTCAGAGAGGAGGGAGACCACTTAAAGGGAAAATTGTCGAGTACCCTCCGGAGGCGGGGGCCTGCGAGTGAGAGATGCATGGGCATGGATTTGTGGGAGTTAACAAGAAAGTTTGAGAGGGTACCGTATCGTTCAATTTTCGCCAAGAGCACCGGGAGAGAGATGTCAGGTGAGGCGAGAAAGAACAAAAAATCATCCGCAAAAGCTGCCACCTTGTGCTGGACGGGGCCTATGCGTACTCCTCGTATGTCTGGGTTAGAGCGGACAGTACGGAGGAAAGGTTCTAAGGAAAGGACGAAGAGAAGGGGGGAGAGAGGGCATCCTTGGCGGGTACCATTGGCTATGGAAAATGGGGGGGATAGCACTGCGTTCACTCGGACCCTGGCGGAGGGGCATGAGTAAAGCGCACGTATCCAGGTTAGCATGTGGGTACCCAGGCCCACCGCCTTCAGCGTGGCTGAGAGGAAGTCCCAGTCGACCCTGTCGAATGCCTTCTCCACGTCGGTTGCATAGTAGGACGCAGGGGGAGGCAGACGACAGGGCAGAGTGGATGACCCCCAAAGCTCGGGTGGTATTGTCCCTAGCTTCCCTCGCTGGCACAAACCCCACCTGGTCCAGATGAATCAGGTCAGCCAAGTAGGGGGACAAGCGAAAATAGAGGATCTTGGCAAATAATTTAGTGTCCACATTGAGTAGGGATATGGGTCTGTAGCTTGGGCATAGGGCGGGATCTTTTCCTTCTTTGGGTATCACCGAGATGTGGGCCAGGAGTGATTTCGGGGGGATAGCAGCTCCATCGCGGAGGGAGTTAAGGGCCCTAAGGAAGTGGAGGGAGAGGTAAGGAAGGAATTTTTTATAGTAAGAGATAGAGAAGCCGTCCAGACCGGGGGCTTTGCCCGTTTGTGTGGATTTAATTGTGAATTCCAATTCGGCGGGAGTAATGGGAGATTCCAAAAGGGAACTGACAATGCTCGCCCTACGCAAATTACATTCCAAAGAAGAGCTGATGTCTTTGCTCCCACTGTATCGTAGACTACCGGAGAGCTCTGCCACCCATGCTGTTTGGCGACCACGCTCTCTCCCCTACGTTTCATTTTCTTATTATGTTTTTTTAAAATATATTTTTATTTTCATTTTGGAACGTGCATGGGGTACCGATAGAAGCTGTAAAACCTGAGCTGTACGGGGCATGCTGTACCCGATCACGGGGGACCCCAGGGTGCTGTTTTTGAAGAATATTGTAATGACCCTACTACCTAGACGTGATTTTGTACTATGACCTGAGATACTTGTGGAAGAGGGTTTTTAACCATGCAACGGCTGTTATTACAGCCACCCTATCTCCGCTGCATCTGGGATTTTTTGCCGATCTGGGTCACACGGCAGGCAGAGGTTGCCCCTAGGGGGTGCGCGGGAAGTGGTTTGCTGCTCCGTGTCCCTCCCCCCCTG